CCCACCCACTCAAGTTCGGTCCTGATCAGATGCCACAAACAATGAATGATTGCAAAAGAACGATTTTGTCTTACAACATCTCAAAAAATTTTAAAAACTAAACTTTTTGATTTAAAAATAATTTTGAATCCCTGATATCGTTTATATATTCGGTAAACGACCATGTCACCCAGATACCATCTCTCTTTACAGCTGAAATAAAAGAAATTAAAAATTTTTAAAAATATTTTTTTTCTAATAACATTAATTCATCTCATTCCAAATTGAATGCTTGTTGTTAAGTTAAAGCAGTTAAAAATTATAAATTTTCTTGCTATAAGCTTTCTTCCATAAATTTACGAGTTTGAAAGATTACACTTCAGTCTACTTTCACTATGATCATATGTTTCTGTTGAACTTTTTATATTATTTTTAGAAATGGATATGACAACCAAAGAATACTATGTGGTAGAAATCGACCCGTTCCGCCTCATCATTAAAATTTGATATAAATCTTGCTGACTGGTCTTAGACAAGTCAGTCTTTTTTACTACAGGGTGTCCCAATAAACATGGGAATTCAGTGACGAATTCGATATCGTCTTTTCAAATAATTCTTTGATTTAGTATAGTAATACCCACTGAGAAAGCTGTAATCTGTAAGAGATCCGTCTGCTATGTTCACATTTTGTTTGTTTATGTTTTGACTGCATACGGTTGTACTTAATAAAACAAGAAAATTGCAGTATACAAACAGAGTAACTTGCGGAGAACTTAAAGACATCTTTACAGTCTTTTACCCTTTTCACAAAATAAATCCTAGCAGACATAATAATATTTTGGCTTATGAAATTAGGTATTACAATGCTAATTCATAACAAAGACGATATCGAATTCGTCACTGAATTTCCATGTTTTTTGGGACACCCTGTACATTCAAATGTTTTTTCCTTTACTACAGTGATAACCAGAAAATTGTGGAATAGTAAGACGACAATAGATCGATCATTAAGTGAATTTTATGTTTGTTCAAAGCAAAAAGTTTTACCATTAACTAATTAAATGATATATTATTGAAATGGGTCTGTTTACACTTCACAATTCTTTTTGTTTTTTTATTCATTGGTCTTTTTAAAGTCAAATCTTGAGTCTAAAAGTAAAAGTCGTCTTCTTATTCCAGAGTTTTCTGGTTCTCAATTAACATCAAATAAAACCAACATTTATTAAGTAAAAAACTAATTGTGTATTTACCGCATCCCAAAAAAGTTTGTTCTTTGAGTTTTTCAGTCTACTTTCTTCTTACATTATGTAAACAATGACCTATACTGACTGTACATTTAAGCGACGTTTGTACATCACAGAGAGTTTAGGAAAGTCCAAATGACGACATTTAAAAAATGTGCAAAACATTAAGCCATTGAGGCAAAACAGGTTGGGGGGGGGAATGAATTTTGAAGATTTGGGGGTGGGGGTAAACTGGACATGGACAGACAATTCGATAAACGGACAAATTGACATTATTCAGCGGTTAAAGACGCATCTTTTAATACTCTTATCAACATCTTTTTAAAAATTTTAAAATTGACCTTCCCTTTTGATATCTGTTTTTTTTGTTTAATACTTAATTAGTTTTTAAATTTTTTACTTTTTTTCTTTCAAATATTTTGCTACTAATTTGCTTTAACATAATTTGTTGCTTAAGCAATTTGACGTTTTCGATGAAATAATTTCACCCTTAGTCAAATTGACAACAAAAAAGAATTTAGAATTGAAAATTCTCCCTTTTAACAGAATTAAATTGACCTAATGCAGTTCTATCTGGAACCCTGGCAAGTGTGTCATTCAGCATCGTCCAAACTGACTAGAAAATAGAAATAAAACCTTTGGTAATTTTTATTAAATTTCAGAAGGGGTTTCTTCTGAAAAAGGAAAACCGCCCTTGACTATTTATCAATTTTGACCTTAAAGAACTTTTATTAGTTTTTGTTCAGAAGGATTAGGAGGGGGCAGATCAAAACTTTTGATTTATTTTGTAAATAATCAAGCTTCCCCTTTTTAACGAGCATTAAAATCCATTAAATCCGTAAAAGTATGGCACTTTAGATCCAAGTGAAAAAATAGCAACCAATGTACAAAAAAATGTTGACTACAGAGATACAGATACAGAGATTGGGGAAAGTTTCAAGTAAAAAAAATATGAAAAGTTTGCTTCAAATCAGACTGTTGGAATAATAAAAATTTTATAGAATGATAGAAATTTTTGTAAGCTAAAACCAGATTCCAACTGGATCCGGATCCGCATCCAAATGGCATTGGTCTGCACTCTTAAGTCTCAAATAATTCTTTTAATTCTTGAATTTTCTTACAAAAATTACTTTTATCTTGATTTTTTTAACTGTTTGTTGAAAGGGGTGTGTATTGAAATATAAAATTGTAACCTTTGGTTTCCATCTTGAGGAAGGATGGTTGTTCGTCCTGATCTCCACTACTCCGTCCGGCCAGGTTGTTGTAAGCGAGCTGGCCGGTAGGACACGGTCCGGTCCTAGTCTTAACATGCAAACATTCATTTATAACAAAATGGAAAAAATATATTAAAATAAATATTAAATAGAAAAATATAACTGTCAACCATCATTTCACAAAAGAGCGAAAATAATTTTTTTTTTAAATATTGAAGACATTCAAATCTTAAAAAAATATATGCCATTTTCCACTTTAATTATTTCTAAAAATATATAATCCTCTATTAATTGTTTACAACTATCGCTTCATTGAGTGCACTGTAAGGTTATATTTTAAGTGCAAACTCCAAAAAAATAAAAATCTCCAATTTAAATTCAGCTTCATCTAAAACGGACTATCGTTGTTGTCGTTGTAAGCAATAAAAACTATAAAAAGAACTGAATGCCTGATTCACAACGGTACCCTTTAATCTTCTGTTTGAGTTAAAAATGAGCAAGATATCGTAAATTTCTATTTTTTTTCACAATTTACTCCATTGTTTCTGAAAGAGCCCGAAATTGAAAATTTTCAGATAAAAAAATGAAGATATTCGGTGATCCTTGATCAGACAAAGGTTTAAAAGATATCATTGGACATGCCCATCTTTATATCGAAGGTCAATTAAAATTTCGCATACAGTCCTTTATATAAAAAAATTGTACTAACCTATTACTTGTACTCGCTGAGATGTTATTGTTGTACAGTAAAGAAGTATGAATAGATCTCCCCGTTTTGATATTCTTATTGTTTCTGATGAGCAGTGAACCAGTGACGTAATATCGTCCAAAATGCTGAACTCTTATAACTCCCATTTTAAATCTAGGAACTAAGCACAAACTCTAATTTTAGAATAGTTTTAGCTTTACACCTGGCGGTGTAACCCTTTCATAAACATAGGACTATTTAATTAAATGTAGTTCATAGTTAGAACTATAAAAGGTCTACAACATCAGGTTGTTAAGATTTTAGACTTAGAAAATTGCAATAGGTTTCATAATCGATGTATTCTTATTCATGTAATTCATATTTTTATCTATGTTTATAACAAAAAATACTATCATCATTGTAAACAAATAGTTTTGAAAATATATCTTTTCCCTTCTGTGTTCACAAAGATAAAACTATATGATTACTATATATCTTAACTCTAAAAGAAGCCATATCTTTTTAATAGTAATAATATATGCGAAAGGATTAATCTTTTTAAAAAAAATTCTGCTATATAAAAAACTTTGATAAACATTCTAAATCTAGATTATTTTTAACCCTAACCTGGTAGCAGCGGTTGGTCTTTTAATTGAGAACGTGTTTTATTTGAAAATATTTATGGGGCATAGAGTACGACCAGAGCTTTAGAAGGATTTTTAGAAATATTCGATTCTATCTCGGGATAAAATAATCATAAATAACTAGATATCTTTACTCAACACAAAGGTAAAAGAACGGACAAGCGATTAACAAAGAAGTTTTAGCGAAGAAAGGTTTGAATGAAAAAGTTTCAAAAAACTATTTTAATAAACATAATTTGATGTATTGTAAAGGTTTAGATGCAAAGGTTTTAAAAAATGTTTAGATAAAGGGTTTAAAGGGTTAACTCTCAAGGGTTGACTTGAAAATGTTATAGAAGGATAACACTGAACTGGTTAACTGTAACTTGAAGATTAATATATTAACAGGGTTGAAGCCCTGTAAAGGATTGAACCCTTTACACTGAAATAGGAAGTAGGTACTGTATGTAAGCCCTATAGGCCACGACTCGACTGAAACCCCGGCTAGGCTAGCATATCTCTATCTTACAACAAATATAACAATAATCTTAGGTTTAAAAACAGGGCTTACTATTTTCGTTTAAATAAGTTAATAACTGTGTTATGTATTTAACAATATTTTTAGTCGAATTCATAATATTGGGGGTGTTCTAGTGCATATTTCGTGTTGGAACAAAAATTCTGTGTAAGAAAAATAACCATTGAACTTTGATTTTGAACTGCGTACAAGTATACAGAGATTCTGAGTACACTGTGGGGTCATTGTGAACTACTATGAAAGAGAGAATTTTCCCAAGAAATCAGCTAAAGACGGAACTTACTAACAAAATGTTCAATGCCGATTGCCGGCGAAAAGAATACCTCAAAAAGTTGCAATTCACATTTCGGAATCACCCCCCCCCCCCCNACGAGTAATAAAATGCCAGAATACCTAGATTTTAATTATCATTAATATCACATGAAAGATATATGATATAATTCTAGCTCATTTATCGTCGTTTTTTCACATATTGTGCTCGTAGCAACGATACCAGTTCAAGATCTTGCATTTTCCCAACGTGATAATCATGAGTAATGTACGACAGAATATCTAGATTTTAATTCTTATAAATATCATATGTAAAATATATTAGATATTATGGGAAGAACTCTATGTTTCATTTTTGATAGAGTTGCAAAATCACAACACTTGGTTTCTCTGCTCATCTTTTAGAAACTAAAAGTATATTGTAGTAAAATGAAATATTTTAACTGACATAAGTTTTTCAGATTAAAACCAGCATGAGCAAAGTACAGCGAAGTTTCACATTGAATTTTGCATTGTATTTCTCAACAACCCCTTTTTGGAATATCCATCTTTAGATATAATTAGGAAGGGTCTTTCATCTAACAATGAATACATTAACATAGTTGGACATTGTGTAAACTTAAGATATTACTTCGTGAATATTGATCATTTAAAGTTTTAACGTTCAAGATGTTAAATCTTTAAGACATAAACTAAAATGTTTAGTTTCTAAAGATTTTGTAATGATTATATACTTTCACAAAGTATTTTCTTTAATATTTTTGTACATCAAAAAACAACTATAGACCCCCCCCCTTTTCAGAGGATTTAAAAAATGTAATTGAAGTAGATGGGAGAAAAATAATTTTCACATGTAAAAATCCCATGTACATGATACATCTCGTGAAATAAACTTAAGTTTTCTCCGTGTAAAAACTCGGTCCTAGACCCATAATCAAATCGTCGACATTCACCTTGACAAAATACACCGTTCTCCATGGGTTTTTGTTAGTTGGGATGTCTCCCCCAAAGTGCAACTGTCGTAGTTTCAATGGCAGGGATTTCTAAACCGCTGTAGTATATACAAAATTTTCCCCGCCATAGTACATTTGTCATAGACATGATTTTGGTGGTTTCTGAACCGCTGTAGTATATAGAAAATTTTTTCTATACCTCCATAGTATGTACTCCATGCCTTTCCATCATAAGTGCTATGGCGAAGAAATTACTTCACCGCCATAGTGTATACAACAGATTTCTGCTATATCTCCTCTTTTGCAGGTGCGATGGCGAAGTAATTGCATACCACCATTCCATAAACTCCTCTGTAGATGCACTGTCATAGGTGCTAGGGCAGAGTAATTATGTACAACCATAGTATATACTCGATATGTCACTGCTGTAGAAAGTATGTTGCAGGTTCAAAGGCGAAGTAATTACGTACCTCCATAGTATATATTTATTAACTAAAACAATTAAGCTTACTCAGCTGTAAATTCGTCTTTGACCAAGATTTTCTCCTCCAGCAGAACAGTAAACACCCTCTTGTGTAGTGCTCAAGCTGAAAAGCTTTAAAATTCGTGATTTATAAATCTTTGCAACCAAACTGTCATTTTATTTCAGAAGATAAAACGCTGTTTTAGCACTGTTTAATAGCCCGCCTATCCCAGTATATCCAGACTAGTAAGCTCTTTTCATAATAAAAATAATTATTGTAAACATTACATATTCAAAACCTATTAATAATTATTGTTAATTTGTATTTATTTCTGGGATTGAAATAAAAGTCTTTACTGATATTATTCTCCATGGATTAGAGGAGAATTCCTGGGAAGCCTATGAACAATTGCCAACCTTCAATTTCCAAGCTTATATTGCAAAGCTTCTGTTGCCAAGCTTCTATTGCCAAGCTTCTATTGCCAGCCTTCTATTGCCAAGCTTCTAATGCCAAGCTTCTATTGCAAAGCTTCTATAAACCAAGCTTCTATTGCCAAGCTTCTATTGCCAAGCTTCTATTGCCAGCCTTCTATATTGCCAACATTCCAATGCCCCATTTCAAGACTCACCCCCCCA